GTTTTACACAGCATCCCAAATCTTTGGAGTTAGGTTTGTTTTTTCTAGAGTTAGAGGTGAGGCCTTCTGTCCTCCAAATCGAGTCATGCAACAGGACAATGATCCCAAGCACAGCAGAAAGAATGAAAAAGGGGAAGGTGTCGCAGGGGCCCGGTCAAAGTTCAGACCTCAACCTCACCGGACTTTAAGAGAGCTGCAAAATAAATGCTTTCAAACCTGAAGCAACACTGCGGTAACCAGAGTTTTCAGCGTTTTCTCTCGTGATAGCGCTGCCTTCAGCTACTGAACAAACCAAACTAACCACAGAAGGCTTCTGCTCTTTAAAGCCACAGCACACCTAAAAAAAACTAACATATATGATCTTCCTCTGGCCCGTAGCGCTCGCTCTCTCTTTTTTAAATATCACGGAACCGCATAGCACAGGGGTGTCGAACTCCAGGCCTCGAGGGCCAGTGTCCCGCAGGTTTTAGATATCACCCTATTTCAACACACCTGAATCAAATTATTAGTTCATTAACAAACTTCTGGAGAACTTCAAGACATGTTGAGGTGATAATTTAGCCATTTAAATCAGCTGTGTTGGATCAAGGACACATCTAAAACATGCAGGACACCGGCCCTTGAGGCCTGGAGTTCGACACCTGTGGCATAGCACCACAAAAAGCGCGTTTATTAAACTGCTGACAAGAACATTTTTGAGTTTATGGATGTATTTTTTTTCTTTTACTGTACAGTAATACAGTTTTTTTCCATTCAAGGACTCCACATTCACAACAAACAAAAAAACAATCTTCCACCTTTTCATCGAGATTCTCAGAGTATTGTATTCTTCCTTTAGCGCTAAGTACTACTAATAACTGTTAACTGATTCTTTTATACTATTAATTACGAAGGGATACCAACTATGGAAAACAAACAATCCCGCCCACAGTAGCTACACTGAAGTGCAAATGTAAAACGTGATAATGAATATATCTCCTTATTTTAGGAAACCGTGCGTTTGTCGGCCTCTCAGGACAGAAATCCAGCTCTGGAGTAATTCTGCTCGCCTCCGTCATGATGCTGTTGACAAGCCGCACACGCCTTGGTGCCAGTTTTTTTTTTTTTCCCAGGCATATGTTACCATAGACACACTGAATAGGCTTCAGTGCTCCACCACACAGCAGTGATATACCTCTTTGTCCTCTGTTTATCTCACTCCCTTGCTGCTGCTCCCACTCTCATTTTCTGCGTAGTCTAAAGTGACCATATTTTTCCATATTCTTCAATAAAAGGCTCACTTCTGTGCCTTCATCTGCTTTGAAAATGTCCTCATTTCTCTCAATTTGGTGCATGTCGCTGCCCTCAGAGCTGTCTGTCTTTATGGCATCCAGTGGCATTCACCCCTCGTATTATGCCACACTGTAAGAAGATTAGATCAGCGACATGTCAAGAAATCCTTCAGTTTAACACACTTGAACATCCTTGTTTTGGAGCTGAGCTTTCAGGATTTCTGTGCCCCAAATTTGCTTGGTTACACAACAGTTTCTCAACCAACGCATCTGACGCCTCTCAAAATGAAAGCCGTACCCCCCTTTTGTTTGTTCTTTGTGAAGAAGTTTTAAAAGTTGGAATGAAGGGGAAAAAACTAACCCTTTTTCCTTTTCTGTATCTCGCTTCAGCTCCAGAAGAGAAAGGAGCGAGAGGAACAGCTGGAGGATGTGATCAAGGCTTACGAGAAGATTCACATGGAGAAGAACAACCTCCAGAGGGATCTCGACAAGATGGTCAGAGGCATTATTCAGTTCACTGCTCTGCGCGTTCATTATTTTGCAGGAGCTTTCATTGCGAGACATATGGCTCATTAAGTTTCGCAGCTTCACGTCCTGGTAATCGGGACCAAATTTAAAAAGTGAAACTCTTCATGGTTGACATCACTAAGACAACAGACAAATCGCAAAATTGAGTAAAGTGTGTGGATGGTGGCGCTGACTTGTGTGTGTAGTTTCATTGTTTTTATGAAAGCTTTTATTTTAAAACTACAGATGTCTCAGATTCTGGCATCCTGCATTGATTATGCTCTACTACATCATATATCATACTTCTAAGCTTTTAAAGAATGACCATCCGTGTGTGAAATGCAATGATTAGGACGTTAATCAGCATCAGTCCTGACAAAAGATGATCCAACAGAACAGATGAGGTTGAGATTTAAACTTAAAGGAGAAGCAGAGTCGTTGAAAAACATTAAGATCTGCTGGTGAAGACGACGGCTGGAAGGAGGAATGTCTGGAAAGCCTTTGTCTGGTTGGGTCTTGTCCACATCTATTCCAGCCCAGTTCCATTTGAGGTCATTGTTTATGAATGGATATAAATTTTAATGGGTTAATAAAAAAAGCTAAATTGTTGCCTAACAATTCCCGGTGGTTTTGAGATTAGATTAGATAGATAGATTAGATAAGTGCGATTCCTAATCGGCTCTTGCCTGGATGCAACCAAAGCCGCTCAGAGCTGATTGGATAATGCACCCTGGACGACAGATGAGAAGCAGAAACCTACTGCTACTAAAAATGTACCTTGCAGACAGAATCCGAATAGGAGTTGGAGAGCAGACAGACTGACAACAGAAAAATGGGAAGATAGGATTCCGAATAAACAAGGAATAAAATGAGGAGGCAGGTGAATCTAATCAGTGGGACAAAAAGTGACAGGAAGTAAAACAAGCACAGAGTGATGACCAAAATAAAACAAAAAAAATACAAGAACAAAGACTTGCAAGGAAATTTGGAAAAAGATTAAACACAAGGAAATATAAAAGAGTGCATCTACAAAATAAAGGCAAGATCCAAAGATATTGAAGAAACCGGACATGAATATATGACTGAAAAAAATGTGGAACACATGTAGTTACAAAAGTAAAACTTTAGTGTTTGCACTCATCTTGAATGAAGACACCTATTTAAACTATTAGCCGTCACCAAAAGCAAAATCCAAAAGCTCACTTTACTTTAATATGTAACTGTCCTCAGACATGTTTATGAGTTATTATAGTGAGTGGTTTGTCCTTGGTGTGAAAAAGTCATTTTTTAAAAGTTCTCCTCTAGCTCTAAACAAAACTGCGTTAAGCTGAAACATTCAGTGTTTCCCCAAAGAAATAATCTCATTTTTTTAAACACAGCAAATCAAGGTTGATCCAGATCCGCCCGAAGCTTCCAGCTGAACAGATGGGCTGGCTGGTCTTCCCCTAAATGCCCTCTATGCTAATAAACCATCTCATATGACAGTGAAGTCCATCATACAGAGAAGCCTCAGCAGTTTCAGAGGTCTCAGTGATTAAGGGATAAAGTGCACCAAAGATGTTGGAACTGCTTCCTGCCAACAGCTGAGACACTGTCAATGTCACCTGAAGCTGCGGCTCGCTGTTAATTCAGCTCCGTCTACCTGTTGGGCCTCATTGACCTTTATCTTCCATCCTTTCACTCACTTACTAACATAATATACAGGACTGAAAGTAAAGTGAGGATTCAGAAGCATAATACCATTAATAGTTTTTCATAAGTTAATTTCAAAGGCGTGTTTTGAATCTAGGGATCTTTTTTTCAAGCATATTAAAGAACGTGTCAGAGTTCTTCTGTGGATTTTGATGTTTTTGGTGTCGAGTTGAGGCCTCTGTGCTGACAACACCCACCGCAGGAGTCATTCTTCTTTATATTTCTAAAGATGCCTAAATGCTAAACACATATTGTATTATTTACCACCCATGTGCATTGCAAGGAAGTACGCAAATCACTTTTAAAACACACGAACAAACAAAGAAGTCTTCCCTAAGTTCACGCAGTCCCTTAGCTCAGCTCCACCCCTGCTTCCCCATTTCTAACCAACTAGTTGATGTCAAAAGAAACAAAAACTAAAATTGTGGCATCAACACAACAGAGGAATTATCTGCAAACATCACTGGGTAATGATACAAATGCAAACAAGTGATAACCAAGTTACCAAAAAAAGCAAATGTTTCTTTAATCTCAGCTCTAAAAGGTACTCTGGAAGTGTTTTCTCTATCCGTATTTACAAAGTAACATTTTTAACCTAAGTGAATAGTTGAATCCCGGTGACTTTAAAGAAAGATTTGAATGTGCGTTTGATTATAGACCAGTTTGGTGGAGAAACACGTTGAGCGGATCCTGAGCCTGGAGTCAGCTCTGAGGCAGAGGGAAAACTCCCTGCAGAAACTCAACATGCAGCTGCACAGCAAAGACATGCAGTATCTGCAGCTCCATGCTGGCCCAGACGCGCACAGTAAGTGATCCAGCAATCTTACTCTCTATATCTTCACGATGCATCTGTATATCTGATTTTGAATAAACCATACGAGCACTGGTGTGCATCAAATGTTTCAATAGAGAGAAATGGCAATATGGCGATCAGTTTCAACCACTCACACCACAAACCAAGGCTGAAATCACGATGCATTTATGAACTCTGACCTAGAGTTTACGGACCAAATTATGGCAATTACAAAACCAGCCTGGTATGATTCAGCAAGCTTGTGAAAAACCGTGCTTATAAAGCAGGGAGTGCACTAATTTCTCTCCAAAAGTGCTCAGTGAATGGCTAAGTAGCTCTGGAAAGAATATGCCCCCATAGCTTTCTGAAGTTGGATTAGGAAGCTTTGTGTCTGATCATTTCTGTAACTCCAGCATTCAAACTGAGAGGAGCTGGAGTTTCTGACCCAACTTCATTGCTGACCCTCAGTTGGTACGACTGTTGAAGCCTGTTGAGGCAAATCATAAAAAATGAAACTCTCTTAAACAGAAGCAATGTTGATTTGCCTTTTTACTTATAGCATCTGTATTTGAATCAAAGTGTAGCTTATTGTCTAGAAAGTTGACCTTTAAGGACACCTTTTTATAGCCCCGCCACTGAGTGTAGCCATTCAGAACAACTGATTTTAGTCACGATATATTGTTGCAGGAATTGGGAGAGCAGTGTCACGACAGGACAGAACAGAGTAGAGCAAGAGGCAGTGACAACAGGCCCTGGCCCTGATTAAGTGAGACACAGTAGGTGCTGAGATGGAAATGAAACTCCACCGCTATAAGCCCAACTGTAGATTAAAGGTTAAAGCAACTTAAACAGACTACGTGATGTAAAATTTGCCAGTAGGATGCATAGAAAGGGATCAGCTGATTTACAGGGAGTGTGGCCTGACTTCTCCCTGATACATCCATCCATCAATCTATCTATTCTCTTCAACTTATCCTCATCGTGAGCGTATCCCAGCTACCATCGGTGAGGAGGCAGAGTACACCCTTGGCTCTTCTTACTGATTTAAAGTGTAAAAGAGTTTTTTTGTGCATTTTATTTACACAAACAAAAAAACAAGAAAACAGCTATCACTCTATAATATTGCTCAGCATTTTCCTGTTCATGGAGTCTTTGATCCAATCCAACAGTCTGTTTGAAAAGCATTTTAATTGAGGTCAGGTTAGACCGCAGCCTGTCAGAAAGACTCAGCCTGGACATTTTGTTCCTACTCCCCACTCACAGAGAAAGACCTGTAATCTATGCGTGTGCTGGTGACTGAAATTCACTCATTCTGGCTTCAGAAACATTTGCAGTAAAGTGACTTGCTCTGTAAATTTGGGGATTGATCTGTATTATTCAGCTGTTGCTTCCATCTGTAGTGTTGAGTGGTCTGTTTTGTGACTAGTGTGCGTTACGAAATGCTGGAAAACCCTTGAGACAACAGGACTTATTACAATGCATTTCTATAGACTCCGCAAACATGGCAGAGCACTAAAAAGTTTGTGAACAAACGTAGGATTGTAGATTTTAAATTTTAAATTCAAATAGTCTCAGCGAGTCAGTACATTATGTGACTGTAGCATCGAATTCAGGATAGGACATGCAGTCTACTTCTGCACGGAGGAGGATCTGTTGACTTAAACTGATCTAGAGTGAGTAGAAGCTAAACTCTGCCCTCTCCAACAATGTGGGCGGTTGAAAGATGGAAGAAATGTGTCACTGCCACCTCAACAGATGCCTCTGCTGATAGTATACCTTCATGAGGAGGAGGTACTACTTTGCATAGGCTTCAAATTACCTTCACGAATATTTGGAAAAAATGGTGTAAACAATGTTTTTTTTTCCCCTTAATTTATACGTGAGGAAGTGATGATTAATAGCTGCATGTGAATGAGGAAAACCTGTTACTGCACATACGAGCGCTCTGTTGAGGAGGCAGGAGGAGCAGGGATAAAAGATGATACTGCTGTACTGTTACTGTGTCTTCTGGCTCAAGGACTGAGTCTGTGTGAGCGGCGCTGAATCACTAGCATGCCCACACAGATCACATCACCCAGGTACAAACTGAACGATGCTGCCCTTGGAAGAAGTCATCTCTTTTGCTCTTTCATACTCATCGATTGTACAGCAGCCACGGACAGCAGCACGCTGCGTTAGTCAGGCGAAAACCACTCAAAGCACTGCGTTTTAGCGCTTTTACCTCTTCTCCTTTCTCCCAGTGCTTGACTGCCCGGCGTTGACCCTTCAGAGCTCCCGTAGCCTTGACGCCCTGTCCGACCTTAAGCTGCAGCGCCTGGAGGCCGAGCTGGAAGGGGCGCGGCACGAAGCCCAGGGGGCGTGTCAGCGGGAGGAGGAGCTGAAGGCAGAGTGCGAAAGACTAAAGGACGAGATGAGACAGCTGCAGAACAGCCAGAGGGTCAGTGTTGGCTTGTTTTAATCTGCCAGGGAAGCATTAGGAGGCTTGTGCGCTGTCAGAGAAGCAGCAAACAAAAATACATTCTGGTCATGCATCCCCTGAAATGTCCTTGGAGATTTGCGATAAGCATTAAGAGAAATGAAAACTCTATTCTCCGTCCATTAGAGAAGATTCCTGCTGAATAATTCATCAAAATCCCCCATGACCTTTAAACACACTCATTTTTTTTATCATTTAATGCCACAATTTTCTTTAAATAATGCATATCTACAGCTAATTAGAGTGTCCATAATTGATATTTATATATCGCAGTGTATTAAATGCAATGTGCATGATTTATACACGTAAAAATAAACCATATCTGCAGTTTGCCTCACATTTAGAGATCCCTGTAAAGATATCGCTGTTTAGTGGCAACCAGGGGTGGAGTCAAGGGGGTTTGGGTTGCTAGACATTAGGAGTCTACAACAGGTAAATACTATTTTCTAGCTAAATCCATTTTAGCGAACCGTCTCTTCACTAAGTAGTTGCTCCATGGCTGACATATCAGTGCAACCACCCATTAAAATTCTCTCATGACCTTTAAAAACAATTGCGAGAGAATAACCTGCATAACTACTGCCTCACAGTGTACTTGTGCATGTCAGCTGTGTCTGCACAATCCAATGAAAACAGCGAGAGACAAAAATTAAGCATGCAGTCGGCCACAAATGAAATCCAAAGGACATCAGCGTCTGCGCCATGCCAGTGTACATAATCTCTCATCCTAATCAAAGCTGTAACAACTGTCTGGCTTCACCACCGCACCAGAGAGCAATCGGGCCAAGTCACAGAAAGCTGGTGAACACAGTAACGCATTTAGAAGCTTAGAAGTCAGATAATTCCCTCAGTTGTTATTGGTGTCAGCCAAGACCGCATCGCAGAATGCTATTCTTCTATCAAAGAGTAAAGAAAGTGAACTTTCTGTCTGCGTCATATCTGTGATGGAACAGCATGGCTAAAAAAGTGACATCCTCCACATACGGAAGCCGTAAAGGGTGCCACACATAAACCACACACTGTATATTTAAAAAAAAGAATAATAATAATAATAAAAAAAAATACACATGACATATAATGTAATTGCAAGGAGGTATTTCTGTAGTCTATTGATTACTAGATAGTGGAAAAGGGGTGGGATTAAATAAGCTTATGCTTCTTCCTGCTCCTTTTTGAACATGAAAGTTATTTGTAGTTGTGGTTGCTCGTTTTCTTTTTGTTTTGCTTTGTTTATTTGTCTCTTTTAATTCTATGTTGTTGTACTTTTTCAACATGTTCAAAATAAAGATTCAATCAATCAATCAATGTATAAAAATGGACTTAGATTCAGAGTCTGAAAAGTGAAGCCTAGTCAGAAGTGTCTTAAAACTGCAATCTCTCTAATGGCCCACAGGGGGCGACTCCTCTGATTTTAAATGAGAAATCTATTTGTATACAAAGACATCTATGGAAAAGCTACCCATGATCCTTTGATTCAACCCCCTGCTAAACAATTTCTTGATGAGTTTGTGGGCTCAGTAGATGATATGCATTTTGTAAATGATGGTCGCCATTAGTGTCCAGAGGTCGATAACGCTCAGCTTGATGCTTAAGAAGACAGGAACTTTGCAAACTGATGGGTAACAGCACGGCAGCGGTGTCCATATCTTACATGCAATATAAGCCAAGAAAACCACCACATGTAGTGCTTGAATAAATAAATAATAATGGAACAAGTCTTTTGTTTTTATGGGTACACATTCTCTTAGCTGTGTTAGTGTCAAACAGGCTTCAAATAGACTCTTGCTGTCAGATTTCTTTTTCTCCAATATTCTACCAGCACCTGCATGCTAATCTAATTTCATGCTCTACTTCGGCAGGAAATGACTTCTCCGTGCAAGCAGTGTGATGTGGAGTGGATAAAGAAGGTGGGAGATGAGCAGTAAGTGACCACGGCAGATCTCTGGGAGGGGAGGGGGGGGGGACTAAAGC